TTTAAATCCATAGTTTTTTTTTTCAACCGTGGTACATAAAATTATCTCTCAAATCTCACGAAAATAACGCCTTTGTATATATTATACTAAATTAACATTTAATATTCAATCATAATAATAAATATTAATACGAAGTACCACTATTTTAAAAAAAAAAAACGTTTCTTTGTGTGGGATTGACATTAAATGAGTTTATATAAGATTGAATAAAATCAATTAATTCTTGAAGAAAAAAATACAAAGAAAAATAAAATATAGGAAACTATATGTATATGTTTAACCAGACTTTTTTCAAATTGTGTACAAAAATAAAAATAAATCACCTTAATCGTTGATTATGCTAGTTTATAAATAAATCACCTTAATCGCTAATTATGCTAGTTTATAATTAAGTTGCATAAACTCACACCCCGATCAACTTTTAAAAAATGTTTCTTTGTGTGGGATTGACATTAAATGAGTTTATATAGGCTTGAAATAATGTTGAATTTAAAGTGGTGATAAAGTTTTATCATTAGATATGATAAACAATGCGTAGTATATAATCTTTTAGACGAATAAATGATAAATGATGATCAATTTTTTTTTTTCAAGATAAAGAGAAAAAGATTTTTTTTTTCCAAAGATTTTTCTTATTTTTGTATCTTATACAAAATTGATAATTTTTTTATTGAACATAGTTTCCTTTTTTTTATTAGTTAATTTTTATAATATATTTTTTTTTTATTATAATCTATTCTCATATTTCATTATTTTCTTTATGTAATCCATTTTTTTTTTAAAAAAAATTTATCAATTGAACGTCATTCTTTTTTTATGTTTAACATTATTTTTTTTTATTAAACATATGATGTATATTTTATTATAAGCAATTTCCATATGTAATTATCTTCTTTTTTTCAATCTATTCCAAAACTAATCCAAATTTTGAACAATTTTTTAATTTTAATTATATTTAACGTGGTTTTCATAACTTTCAATTTAATAGTTTCCTTAAAAAAATTAAAAATGTATATAGTGACATGGAAATCCTACGTTTGTATATTTCTTATGGTCTCTTAATCTCTTAAATTTTTTAATTCTATTTAAATTTTTGACATAATTTCACGTAAATGTTTAAACAAAGTAAAGTTTTTTCTTGCATCATAAGTTATAATTTTTTTTTATAAAATTATCATCTCATTCATTTGGTATTTAGATAAATACCATTAATATCAAAAGATAATATTTAGTTTTTTTTTAACAATTTAAATCCTAATATCAAAATATAATTTTTAGTTTTTTTAAATAATTTAAATCCTAAAATCTAAAGATAATTTTTCTTTAAAAAAATGGATAATTATTATTTTTTTAAATAATTTAAATCCTAATTAATCACTATTCGTTGTTTTTACGCAAAATTCTTAAGTATCATTCGTCAATTTTGCTTTGGTGACAAGTGAATTTTTTAATTCTAAAATAAAATACAAATCTAAATTTTAATTGGTCGAAATAATACCTTTACCTATGTGGCGCACCAAATGCTCCGAAAAATGCCTACTTTATTTATATACTAGTTTTGTGCCCAGGCGATGCCCAGATGGTTGATAAAATCTTAAGATAATATTTTTAATTGAATGTTAAATACGGTCAAATAATTTGTTCTGATAATTTAGGATATTTAGACATACGATATCATATGGCTTATATTTATATAATAGTGTACTTTTTGTAGTTTTGTTTCTAAATAGACTTATACGAAGTATATGTTATTATTGACTTGAAATTATTTTTATTGAACTTAAATTATTTCAATAAACTAAAAGTATTTTTACCAAACTAAAATTATTTTAACTGATTAAGACTTATTTTTACCAATTCTCTATTTTTTTTAATAACTTAAATAACACTGCATTTTGTATGCGGCTAGCCATACCATTTGGCTGGACAAAGTAACCCCTATAAAACTGACCGACTAACCCTTGTGATACTAACTGAGTAACCTCTAATCCCTATCTATAACACTGATTGAGTAACCAATATAACAATAATCAAGTAACCCTATAGTACTAACGAAGTGACTCTTGTAATAGTTGGAGCTTAGTATAAAAGTTTGTGATTAAATATATTATAAATGGATCTTATTTTAAAGAACTTTTTAAAACGAATTTGATGATGAAAATAGATTTGAGTTATAGGATATTTATTAAAAGTTAGGATTAATTTTGTATATATGAAATATTATAATTCTATCGATAATAAAACTCTATACAACAATTTTATCTTAAAAGATCTATCCAAAAACCGCTTAATTAGCATCATACGTGTCACAATAATATATATTTATCTCCTACGTGGCGCTACACTTGGTGAAAAACTGGAATGCCAAGTGTTGCTTTCTCGTGGTCTGACTACGAGACCAACTTTATTTATTAGTGATATGATATTATATTATATTAGATTTTATGATAATAATCAAGATTAGATTATTGATTAACAAGTTTTCTCTTCATTTTGTATAAGTAAATTTAAAAAATTAGGCCCTTTTACAATAATTTTGTATTAGTTTGGGATTAATGTTCGTAAGTATATGGTAAAACATTAATCCCAAACTAAAAGATGGGTGGGTTGGGCTTGGTGTGATTGCTCGTGATCACAAGGGCGATGTTCTTTTTGCTGCCACCAAAAGAATGCGAGCTCACTGGAGTGTTGAAGTGGCTGAGGCGAAAGCCATCGCTCTTGCTGCTAAACTGGGAAGAAGATATGGTCTTGTGAATGTGATCTTGGAAACTGATTGCTTAACAATTACAAACCGGTTGGATCGAGGAGCTATTTTTCTGTCGGAGCTTGATACTGTTTTAGGAGAAATCCTTTCTTCTTGTTGCTATTTTAATATGATTAGATGGTCTCATGTAAAAAGGGATGATAATTTTGTTGCGCATCACCTAGCTAGGCTAATTCCTTTGGGAAATGAACAAGTGTGGGATAACTCTTGTCCCCCGGATGCAACTATGTATGTTCTCACGGATAAACTTACTCTAATATAAGCCTAGTTAGTTTGTTTCAATAAAAAAAAATAAAAAAAAAAAAAAACTAGGAGACACAATTACTACATGTACAATTCATATAATATATTAAGAAAATAAAATTTGACAATTTATGCAATAAAATAAATCACTGAAATAGACTAGTTATAAAATATCACAATATAAATATTATAAATAGGACCTAACTTAGATTAAGCGGAAAAAAAAAACGAAAAAAAAATACTCGATGAATTAGCAAATTTGATAAATAGAATCATAAATATTAATATTTAAAATTTTACAAACTAAATTACCTAAACTAATTACACAATTTATCTCTTGCCATCATCTCGTTTTCTCATTAGATCACACACTATCACGTTAAGGCCCCGTTCCCTTCACCTTAATTTTGCTGAAAAATTATTTTTACTGAACTGCAATTATTTTTGCTGAATTGAAATTATTTTTTTACTGATTTTCTATTATATTTCTTCTTTAAAATAACTGAATTTTACTGAACTGAACTTATTTTACTAAACTGAAATTATTTTTACTGAACTAAAGTTATTTTTACTGAACTGAAATTAATTTTACTAAATATTATTTTTTTAAGGTGAAGTGAATAGGGCCTAACAATATTTTTCACTTAATTATTTTTAGTGGATCTTACGTAATGAGTGAACTAAACAACTTTAGAAAATATAATGAATTTTCAATCCATACTCTTGGAGTTCTTATGTTTATACCATTTCATTTCATCTATTTGAACCAAATGCCCCATACATAGATACTTATTATCATTTATTGACTTTTTATACCATTAATATAATAACGTTGACTTTCATTACCTTTGATTATATATTAGTTAAAAAAAATATTTAATATGATATTTTAAAACTATTCATTGAGATTAACGCAATAACAATTAAAATGATGAAATATTTAAATATTAGAAATAAAAATGTCAAATCTAGTACTTTGTATAACGTATATAAATAGAGGATTAATTCAAAGAGTTGTAGGAAATGTCTCCCATCACCTTCAAATATGGAAATATTCTACAATCTTTATTTTTTTTGAGGAAGAAATATTCTACAAATCTTGGGTTTACTAATCTCCCATGATTTAATAATTCGCTAAAATAAATATATTGTTCCAAAAACTTGCCAAGCATTATAAATTAATAATAGAAATTTTGATAATTTTTATAAAAGAAACATTGGAAAGTTATATATATACTCCAGATTCTTTTGGATTAATTTTTTTTTTCTTTTCCCAAAGATATATAATTTTTATTTTTCTTATTCAAACAAATTTGACATCAAATTGGATAAAGGTTATATGAAATTCAATAATTGGACACCAAGATTGTTGTTGTTGATTTAGGTAATGGAGAATATATATAATGAATGCAAAGATCGAGTTATATTCAAATTTTGTGCATTTAGGAATGAGGGTAAAGTGGTAAATAAAATGGCAAAAATAATTTGTACAGACTAGGGTCATGTGTCAATTCACTTGATCCGATTTAATATGCTTTCAAATTTTTCAATCAAATGTGAATAATGCGATCTAATATGATTTTTGGTTGAATCAAACTTCTCAAATAAGATTTGTCAATTGAAAATGTCATTAAATTCGTATTGATATACACTTTCCCAAAATGATTTATTTAATTTTTTTTATCATAACTTTTAAAAATTATAAAATTAAAGCTTTTTAGTGATACATAATGTAATTGAAAAAATAAATCTAATTTGATTATTACTAAAATCAGTAAAAACGAGGTATAAACCTAAATAGCTAAAATTATACATAACCTAAGTCATATTGTATCGAATCATTATTTAGATATATTATTATTATTATTATTTATTTATTTTTTTCTAATTGATCAATTAAAAATCATACTATATTAATTTCAAATTTCATTCCAAATCATTTGAGTCGAATCAAATTCATCATCACAAACCCTTCAATCTCAACCCCAAAAAGGGGAAGTTTATGACTCCGTGTGAGAACCCGAGGACCCCAAGTTGAAATGTAGCACTAGTACTAGTAAAAAGACTAAAAAAACTAAACCCCTTTTCCTTCAACTTCAGTCCTTTTCAAGTTTTCATATCGTCAAACAAACTCCCCTTTCTACTCTTTTCAACTACACAATTCCACCCTCCCAAAACATAAAATAAAATAGAAATCAATAAAAAGTAGCCTTTTTCATATTTCAATTTTCATTTTCTCTCTCCTCAAAAATCAGTTCTACTTATTCTGCCATTGCAAAGCTGCAAAACTTTAGCTGAAACAAACCCTCATAAATTTTCTCTCTCCTCCTTTCCATTGAAATGAAATCCAACCAATCATACAAATTTGCAGTAAATGTATTTGTCCCCTTTTAGATACCCCTCATTTACTCCTACCACCTCACTCCCTCACTCCTACTTCTACTCACACCTCTAACAACAACAACAACCCACCTCCCCTCTTTTTCTCTCTCCTCCGGCCCGACCCGACCCGTTTACCCGATGCGGCGGCGGCGCCTCTAAATGGGTTGTATCATTAGCCGGCGAAGACCCGCCGGAACTCCACCGCCGGCGCCGGAAAACCCAACTCACCGCCGCCGTGCTTCTTCCCTTTCCTTAGGAAGGGACTCTCTTTCTCCTAATACTAGTAGTAGTAAACTTCCTCGTTATTCCTCTAATTTCTCAACGACTGAGCTCCGGCGCCACGTCATCGACCCTTATGGAGGTGGGCCCACTACCCATCATGGGTGGCCCACTTGGCTTGCTGACGCTGTTGGTGATGTCATTAATCGGTTCTCCCCTCGCCGTGCTAGTACCTTCCAAAAGCTCGATAAGGTTCGTCTCTTAAAAGTTCTTCCTGTTTCGACTTTTTTTAATTTTTTGAGTTAATGGTGGGGAATAGGGAATACCCTTTTGATTGATTGTTTGTTTTTTGTTGTTGTTGTTGTGGTTTTTAGATTGGGCAAGGAACGTATAGCAATGTATATAAAGCAAGAGATTTGGTAACAGGGAATATAGTGGCATTGAAGAAGGTTAGGTTTGATAATTTAGAGCCTGAAAGTGTAAAGTTTATGGCAAGAGAGATCATAGTATTGAGCAAACTTGATCATCCTAATGTTATCAAACTTCAAGGTTTAGTTACTTCTCGAATGTCTTCGAGTTTATATTTGGTTTTTGATTACATGGAGCATGATCTTTCTGGCCTTTCTGCTTCACTTGGTGCTGGTAATAAGTTCACTGAGCCACAGGTACTTTACTTTTTCGATATTTTTAACTCGTTTCCGAGATTAATTGTCAAGTTGATAGTGTAATTTGGACAGAAAAACTAAATCTGGATGGTGGGTAGTATTTGATTTGTTTGGTTGTTTATTGTTTAATACGAACTTTGTAATTTACTTGATTCGGTTTTTCTTTTTAATTATTAATTGTGCTGCTTGTCATTTAGTTTCTTGGGTTCTTTCTTGATAGTTGTTTTGACAGTAGTAATTTAATGGAGAATCTTGAGCAATGGGGGCCTCAAGTTCTGCAAAATTTTTTGTATCTAATTACAAATTTTGTGGTTATAAAACTAAATTGAGTTTGTCTTCTTATTACTTGGGAAAGTCTGAGTTATCCTGTCCCCTTTTCTGCTGATAGAAAAAGCCAAGCAGCTGAGAGTGCAGGATGTGACTGTTTTACTAAGATTAGATGCCTGAGTTTTTGCAATAGCATTTGGACTGGAGGTTATTGTGGTTCATTGGATATTTATCGGTTTTTATCCGAATTTTTAAGTCCAGAGTACAATACTCGTTTGTCCCCCTTATGTTTGTTTTCCCTTACAAGCTTTGCTTATGTTTGTCTTCTTATTTGGATCTGTGATGCAAAACATTATTTTAACAGCTATAACAACATAGCATGTGCCCTGCTTTAGGTGGGGTTTGGAGAGGTTTAAATTTATGCGGCCTTACTGCTAACCATGTCTAAACTGATAGTGAGACTGTGTTTGGATGCAACACATTTCCGGCCATGTAACTTTAAATTGTTGTGTCGGACTTCCTCTGGCAATTGATACCCCGGAGCATATCAACCACATTAAATATCATGTTTTAGTGGTCTAGCCCCTGAATCAGAATATAATTATTTGGTTGTTGTACTCTTAAATGTTTTTATAGATAAAAAAATCTCTGGATTTGGCAGTTTTCTTACTAAGTATCTCGAGAAGATTGTCTAAGCTCTTCCAGTCTTCCCCTTTTTTTGCATGGAGTTACATCAGAGAGATCTGTGGATGGATTCAGTTCCTAAGAGGTCTGTGGATTTAGTATATATTGTATATGCTCTCAGAAGTCTTTATGACAATATTAATGTATGGATGTTACTATATTATGCCGTTTGCAATCACATCTTTTCCGTGGATGTTCAATTGAAGAAGCTTAAGATTTGTCTAATATCAGACATTCCTGGGAAAAAAGAAACCTTTAGTGTTTGTAGATGTTTTCAATGAAACCGGACATTGTTTCTTCCCTGCAAATCTCATCACTGTATTTGAGCTGAAATTTAAGTAAAGCCAGCATTTTAAGAAATTATATTAGTCTTCAGCTAGATTTAGGGAAAAAATACATGTTGATGGTCTGAGGTAGAGATATCAGGATTACTTTGGGAGATTCACAGCAGCCTGTGATTATTCATACACAATGACATTCTTTCTAAAAAAGTTTAAATGGGTCACGCTAATATGTGAGAAAGGGTGTGAAAGACATTTTGGGACTTTGGAGATCCAAAACTAACCATCTTTCTTCATTCTCATGTAAATTATAAAGATATGAGTTCCATCTTTCTTCATCCTGAATGGGTAAATGTGTTTTGACGAAGCTTGGAGTATGAAATAAAGAAATTGAAACTTTGGGGCTGTTTGGTTGGCCTCATTGGAAAGAAGGAATTGAGAAAGAGATAAGAAAGCTGGAAAGGAAAGCTAACAAAATCCCCCAATGCCCTATGCTGTTTGGTTGAATGAAGAAAGTGACCTGAAACCCTTTGTGACATTTTACAAACAGTACAACCACCACTGCTCTTCACCAATAACCAAGCCAATGCTGGCAAGTTAGATAATGGGTTACAGTTGGCATGTGGCATCTTCCATTGCAACTGAAGTCACTGCCTTCCACCATTATAGAAGGATGTATATGGACAATATGGTCAATTTGATCATCTAATCTCTAGATCCAGAGCTTTCATGGTCAAAATACACCATCCAAATCCTTAATTAGAATCTTGGCAAATTGATGTACGTCTCTTCTTTTCTTTTTCTCTCTAATTTGTTGGTGATCAGGGTGGTTACGATGGTGAGTATGTGGCACATTGTTGGTGAATGTGAATCTTGTAATGGCCATGGGGTTTAGGATGTTGATTATCATGGTCATAGGGGTATCAAGTTGGTGTTTGAGGTGACTAAGTGATGATAAAATTATGGTGGTGCAAATGGTGGTGGTTGGTACTTTGGTAGTGGTCAAGTTATGGAAGTGGCTGGTGGACTTGGGTCAAACTGGTGGTTGGGTGATGGGGGTAATTGGTCAAAGATGGTCAAGGGTAGTCATGGTATGGAGGAAGTTGGGGGAATTCTCAACTCCCAAGTTGGGATGGAGAATCTCTGTAGAGCAGTATTTGGAAACTCAGCAAAGCAAAAGGGGAGAAAGGAATAAAAAAATGTCAACCAAACAATCACCAAGGATAAACAGGGTTTAATTTCCTTTCCCTTACCCTTCTGCCCCACCTTCCAAAGAATTCCAACCATATAGCCTCTTACTGTAGTGTTTTAGTTATGTACAAATAGATATAGTTGATGTAATTCAATCTACATGATACTAACTTTTTTGAGTGTTTTAAGTATGAAAATACTCCAAAAACACTTATGGGGATTGCTGAATTCATCCTTTTTTTTTTTGTTTTTTTTTTTTTAAATTTTTTTTTTGACAATCAATAAGAAAGAAAAAAATTCAACAAAGTTGATACTTCCTCCGTTAAATATTAATTGCAAATTTGCAACAAAAGAATATTTTTGTCTCACAAATAATACCCCTTTGTTGCAATTAATATTTAACGGAGGAAGTATTTGATACTTTGTCCTTAGGGTTTTAACACTGAATAGAATTTCTGAATGAATAATTGTTTAGTGTATTCAAGAATTCGAGATGAATGTAAAAACCTTATGATTGGCGCCGGCTTAATATATTACGTTCTGTCGTTTGTTAACTGGGGCAGTATGACACCCCTTTGTGAGGCAGTGAGGCTGTAGATTTGCTGTTTAAACAGTACCTGCAGTGTATGACTTGAGAGAATCATTAATAAATGACCGAAGATTTGGTATAATCTGTGATTCTGCACTGGCTGCCTGCACATGCCACTGCAAGTTTATGATAGATAACGAAGAAAAGAATGAAAACAAGGTCGCCACCCTGACCAATGAGGCAAAAGCTTGCTCAAATATTTCTTTAATAGATTTTTGCTCGGATATTATGTATAGCTGGATGTGTTAATAAAAATATACTATTTCTTTTTCTTCTACACACTGATCCATTCCAAGTATGTTGTATCTCAATTTATTGACTTCATGCTCTAAATATGTTTTTGCTGCTCTGAGTTTCATTTATTAGCTGCTTGTTTCAAATGATTAAGGCTGACTGATTAGTAAACACTGAATGATTTTTAGGTGAAGTGTTTCATGAAGCAGCTAATATCTGGGCTTGAGCATTGCCACAACAATGGAGTTCTGCACCGTGACATTAAAGGCTCCAATCTCTTAATTGACAATGAAGGAGTTCTTAAGATAGCTGATTTTGGATTAGCTACAATTTACAATCCTAGTCAAAAGCAACCTATGACCAGTCGAGTTGTCACCCTATGGTATCGTCCTCCAGAACTGCTTCTTGGAGCCACAAATTATAGTGTTGGTGTTGACCTTTGGAGTGCTGGCTGCATTCTGGCAGAATTACTAGCTGGAAAGCCAATTATGCCAGGACGGACCGAGGTGTTGCATTTCTCCAAGATCTCATGATTCGATTGACAATTTATAAGCTTCATTTTTGCAACATGTCCTTTATCCTTGTGTGGGATATATTTCTCACCATTGACCATGTTTTTTTTTTTTCTAGGCTAAATGTTTTGAATTTTTGTTCTAGACTAGTAATTCACATTTATATCTATTGTGTGTCCAGGTAGAGCAGCTTCACAAGATATTCAAGTTGTGTGGCTCTCCTTCTGAAGAGTACTGGAAAAAATATAAGCTACCAAATGCTACTCTTTTCAAGCCACAGCAGCCCTACAAGCGTTGTATTTCAGAGACCTTTAAAGAATTCCCCCCTTCTTCCCTCCCACTAGTTGATTCACTTCTTTCAATAGATCCTGAAGGACGAGGCACTGCTACTGATGCTTTAAATGGTGAAGTGAGTATTTTATCGGACACTGCATGTTTTGAACCGAAAAATTAAAGGCTTATCTTTGAACTCCTTGTGTTATGTATGATAATTTATATTATTCACTCGTCAACAAGTGTCCACCTTCCACTAGATAGAACAATCTCAGGCGTAAAAAGAGAAATGGAGATTTTGAATAGCAGTTAGGCTGCTCAGTTTGATCTTATTGGCTGTTATTGCTTTTTAGTTTGACTATCTGATTTCACATACATACATTGGTTTTGCTATTTAGCTATTGCAAGTAAAGATGGTGTCTTCTTTTTCCCCCCTCCCCTAATGAGATGAAAGAATAGGTTGGTTTAATATGTAAGCTTACATAAATTGTTTGGTTGCCTTCATGTATAGTTCTTCTCATCTGAACCTCATGCTTGTGAGCCGTCTACTTTGCCAAAGTATCCTCCCAGCAAAGAATTAGATGTAAAGCTACGGGATGAAGCTGCAAGAAGGTTTACACTACCTCCTCTTTTATTGCACTTGTTTTATATTGTTATACTTTCACTAAATTTGCCAGTTATCTTCATAGTGCTTACTGTCAAATTGCCACCTTTATAATAGGCAAAGGGGCTTAAGTGGAAAATCTAGCATTGCTGATGGTGCCAAGAGAGTTAGAATACGTGACCGAGCTGGCCGTGCAATTCCTGCTCCAGAGGCAAATGCTGAGCTACAAACAAATTTGGATGTATGTTTAACAAGCTTTATTTTATGCATCTGTTTTTCCTTTTTGCTTCTGTCACTTTATTTGGTGACTGAAGCAAGTGACTTGCTGTGGCAGAATTTCGTGGGATGCCTTTTTTGGGTTTCTTCACTGCTGCCTTCTACATTGCATGTCTCATCAGTAGTCTCAGGAATGTGCTGCAAATGATTTATTCTGTGCAAATGAAATTTAGTATAAATCAGTACTTCATATAACGAAAACACTAAGAATCAGTAAAAATCAGTCTTAATCACTAAATTCCTTTAGATCAGTGAAATTCAGGTGAAGCTAGAGAATAATGCCTTTGAAGTTAGAATACAATATACATGCATTGTTTAGTTTCAATGCAAAACTTTGATAATTAATATCTTAAAAATGCTACAAGATAAAAAATTATGATAAGTTGATATTCCTGTGTAAGTACTTATAGAGATGAATTTGTTTTCCTTGCGGGAAAAATACTAGAGAAAAGTTTGTCTTGTTATGGGATGCAGCAACTAATTATCTACCTTTGAGTTTTCCAGAGGATGAGATTTGTGACACAAGCAAATGCAAAGAGCAAAAGTGAAAAGTTCCCTCCGCCCCATCAAGATGGAGCTGTCGGAGTTCCTCTAGATACAGCCAGTAATGGTCCTCTGTCCTTTGGCCCGACTGAGCATTCCTTTGATACATCACATTTGAAGCCTGCATTGTCAAAATCCAGAAGCGTAACGCCTGCTGAGGGGCCTTCAAGAAAGAAGAGAACCAATAAAGAGCAGGACTTGGCTTCGTCGTGGAAATTCTTCCATGCATGGAAACCATCAACCATTGGGCTGTCTATGGATCTAATGTTCAAGGGTAAAGGGTCAATGACACGGGTATCTAGCAGTAGAAAGTAAGCGCGCATCTTCAACTTCTCCCTTTCACAAACTGAAGGGACATTCTTCAATCATAATTTTTAGTTTTTAAAGTTATGGAGGTGTAGTATGTAACGCAACCGTGCTGGAAGTTTTTGTATACTAATACACAAGGTTAGTTGTACAGTTGGTCATAGCTAATGCTACCTATTTTGATGTATCTGATATTGTCTATATACTACGAAGTTTCTATTAGTAACTCATTCAAAGTTAAAATTATGTACCCATTTGTTTTAAAGTAACTTCAAGTCTTCAACCCTTTCACACTTAACCATCCACTGTGCCACTACTAGCTCTTTCGCCTCAAAAGATTAAACTTTCTAACCTTGTTTACAGATTAATTACTTTTTCTTTGATGTATAAGGACTTAAGGAGGTATGAGGACTTTAGGGGAGTTTAAGACGATGTATACATGATTCAATTCTAGCTAGGCTACGACCTCATTGGTTGTACGGTTGTACCTCCTATTCTTCACACATTTTTGCTCTAATTATTCTTGTAGGTCGCAATACAATTTCAACAACACATTAAAAGATTTAATTAGTATTCACTTCACCTAAATTTCACTAATGTTATATTGTATATACGTGTACCTTAGTCCTTCCCATGAAATTTTTTCCACATTGATGGGATAATTAGTTATATTTTAAGAAAAAATCATAATTTTTTTTGCTAATTAACAATTAAAAATATCAATGATCAAACTTATGTATTTATGAATACGCCCAAAAATATGAATATATTTTGTATATGACAGAGGGAGTACAGAATATCGTATAATCTGTATATGTATGGCCTCATAGTCATGGCCCTCTGGCCTCATCTAGCCACGCTTACTAATTAAAGAGGGCAGTTGTGTAATGAATTAGATTTTGATGGGATGTATATGTCTACCCACCATTTTGCATGATTTTTTTTTTTCCTATCATTTTACTTTCTAGGATAATACATGCATATTGAAAGTACTAATAAATGGATAATGATCTATTCGTAAACATTTTTAATAATACTCTGTATACCAAAACGGGATTGATAAATACAGTACAGTAATTATTATGGATTGATAACTAAAGCAAAATTTTAGGCCAAGTAAATTCTGTTTGAGTGAAATCTTTTTATATACACCCAGATACCTGGTCATCTATATAGAAGATTTACAGTTTCATTCTAGTAAAAAGGTATTAAATATAATGATACTCGTATATTAGTATTTTAAGATTATATACTGAGATGAATAGAGATTTTACATAATAATCATAAAAAATAGTCAAAAGAGTGTGTGAATAATAAAAATATTCCAACATTGTGATTAAAGAGTATAATATGGATAGTTATCATAAATCTATGTGACCAGAGATGCCACTGATGACGACTATATAATACTTTGTAAGATGCGTTTTTATATCTTTAAATTAAAAATCTTAGTGGATTATTTTTATTTAATCTGGGTTATATGGATAATGACATTTTTTTGGATAGCATAAAAAGGAAGATCAGATAATATGGTTATGAAAAAAAAAAAAAAAAAAGAAAGATAAATCATAAAATCAAATTGGATATAGTATATTGAAAGATCAAGATATTAATCCTTGAGATAAACCCACAATCTCATAGGATAGCTATCAAATGACAAAGTTAATCCAAATTAACAAACAATAATCTCTTATAATTTTCCCTATATAAATCCTTCACCCATTAATCAATATCCACAACATATAAATCATTTAAGTATTGTGTGATAAACTCGAAAAGAGAGAAATTTAGGATAAAATGGGTAAAGGAGGAAGTGTAACTGATGTTGCTTCTCTTTCAGAGAACAAGGCTGCTTGGTTATATGGAGTTAATGATCTTCGCATTCTTCCTTTTAAGATCCCTGCTCTCGGTAATTAACTTATATTCATCTAGTTTTAAATTAAATGTCACGTTATTAGTGTAATTTAAACTAATAATGTGTGTGAGCACGTGACAAAATAAATAATTTTTATTAGAATATTAAAGGTAACATAATTTTTTTTGTGACAGGACCTCAAGATGTGAGAGTAAGAATGAAGGCTGTTGGGATTTGTGGTAGTGATGTGCACTACTTAAAGGTACTTTCATATGTTACATATACATTAAATTATGCAAATTAAATAATATTCTCATAATTAATTGTAATGCTAATTTTATTGTATTATGGTTAACTTGACTAGACAATGAGCTGTGGTGACTACCATGTCGAAGAGCCTATGGTGATCGGTCATGAATGTGCTGGGATCATTGAAGAAGTCGGTAGCGAGGTTACTTCACTCATTCCGGGGGATCGAGTAGCTCTTGAGCCCGGGATTGGTTGTTGGCGGTGTGACAGGTGCAAAGAAGGGTCTTACAATCTCTGCCCTGACATGCGCTTCTTTGCTACCCCTCCCATTCATGGATCTCTTGCTGATCAGGTTTATATCTAATTAATACATACCTTAATTATTCATTATTGTAAGGTCTACTAATATGAAATTCATTATTGTAAGGTCCACTAATATGAAATTCATGAATGTTATGTGTATGTAGATTGTGCATCCTGCAGACTTATGTTTCAAGCTGCCTGAAAATGTCTCATTAGAGGAAGGTGCAATGTGTGAGCCATTGAGTGTTGGTGTGTATGGTTGTCGCCGAGCTAATGTTAGTGCTGAGACTACTGTTTTGATCATTGGGGCTGGACCTATTGGCCTTGTTGCCTTGCTATCAGCTCGTGCTTTTGGCGCGCCTAGGATTGTTGTGGCAGATGTGGATGATCATCGTCTCTCTGTTGCAATGAGCCTTGGTGCTGATGGAATTGTTAAAGTTTCATCAACTAAGGAGGTTTGATTATGCTTTACAAATTACCTATAAACCACTTGATGATTGTTGTTTGGAAACGAATATCTAAAAGAAATGTTTTTCTTGCAGTTTGTTTCAGCTGAAGTTGATGAGATAAAGAAAGTGATGGGAAAAGATATAGATGTCACTTTGGATTGTGCTGGTTTTGAGAAAACTGTGTCAACTGCTTTCGGGGCTACTCGTAATGGCGGTAAGGTTTGTTTGATTGGAATGGGTCATTGCAATATGACCGTTCCTCTTACCCCAGCTGCATCAAGGTAAACATACATCTTATAACTTTATGATATTAATTAAAGTAATTTTTCAAGAAAGTTTATGTATAAATTTTGTTATGTTGTCTATGTCACAGGGAGGTAGATGTGCTGGGAGTGTTCCGTTACAAGAATACTTGGCCACAATGCATTGAGTTCATAAGCAGTGGGAAGATTGATGTGAAACCTCTCATTACTCACCGATTTGGATTCACTCAAGAAGATGTCATGAAGGCTTTCGAAACAAGTGCTAAGGGTGGCAAAGCCATTAAGGTCATGTTCAACCTTTGAAGGGTGACGATAGATTTAAGGATTATATATTCACCATAGCATACAATAAGTGTAAAGATCCCTAAGATTGAACATTTATAATTAAATGCTATTATATAATGAGTTTCGAATTAAAAATCTCAATTTCAAGTATTATATTTTTCAGTCCATCAACAAATTTTTAAAGGCTTGAGATTGATCATTGGCTACTTGCAAGATTATTAACAATTTCATTATCTTTAACACAGTGTTTTCCAATAGGCAATTACTCTATATGTCATTGTGCAAAGCAAATTTTCCCCCGTAGCTGAAGGTAGGTTTGGGGAGTGGGAATTTTTACTCTTAACATTGGTGCACTATTATTAAGTAACTTATCATTGAGATATTAAAGTAATACCATTGTGTGCACCTAGTTGCAGGGGTGGTTCTGAGCATGTGTAGGGTGGTCGATCGCACAAAGCCCCCTAAGTGAAACAATTATAAAAGGGCCCCGATTTTTGAATTTAGTAACATATTTTTCCTAAAAAAAAATATTTTTAGGGCCCAACTTAACAAAATTGTACCGGGCCACTTTCATTGTTAGCATTTGTAGCCCCGCCTCTGCCTAGTTGATCTGTGTACTTTATGAAGTTCGGATTATGCTTAGATCAATCCCGTGTGGTTTCTTGGGTTATCAAATAATACATAGTGCGATACAGTCAAAACAAGATATTTTATTATGAAATAATAGATACCTCGGAGATGGGTAAATTTATCAGCAGACTCTCTATTTTTGTTGCATCTAATTGGTTTTTTTTTGTTATAAGAAAAAAAAAATTAGATGGTTAGAAATCCTTTATTTTTTAAACCTAATCGCTCTTTTGATTTTGGAATTTAGACTAAAGTTTTTATCAATATACTCGGGGATGCCCTCAGCGCCGAGGAACATGTACTAGGGTGTATGTGTGACTCGTTCCGATTATGAGCTGGAACAAAAACAAAAGAAATAATTTTTCCAGTATCAATGATCAGTACTGGTGAATGGAATAGTATAAAACTCCTGTCACTATCTAAAACGAATAAAATGAAAAAGATCTATTCATCTATTGAGTATGAAATTTATGGTTTCTGTCAGTCTAAATCGGATTTAAGATACGACAATTAAAATTTCCCATTGGTAGCGAACGTTATCCATTTAGCGGGGAATCCTTTTTTAAGAGCAAAAAATTCCTGCTCCCATTTTTAGAAGAACGGACTAACAGGGTCAGCTATCCAGCTAACTTTCAAAATTAAATACCGTTATTGTATAGGTGGATCTCATTGTGAAAGACCTATTACTGGATAATTCATGGGTAGAGCCAAAATGTTTGAACCTACTTGGGTGTTGAGCATTTATTTGTAAGAGCAGAATTTCTTTCCATGTATAATTACAACTTCGGAAAGTAGGATTTAATAAATAGGTTCTTACAGGGAACCTTTTAGATGGATAAGATCCATATTCTGGATCCATTTGGTTCTTTTGATTCTTGCTCGAGCCGGATGATGAAAAATTCTCATGTCCGGTTCTTTCGGGGGATGAATCGAATCTCTAAGAAAAGAATTCACCTATCCTAATAACAAAAAAACCTGACTTGAATGATCCTGTATTAAGGGCTAAATTAGCGAAAGGCATGGGGCATAATTATTACGGGGAGCCCGCATGGCCTAATGATCTTTTATATATTTTTCCTGTAGTAATTTTAGGTACTATTGCGTGTAACGTAGGCTTGGCAGTTTTAGAACCATCAATGATTGGTGAGCCGGCGGATCCATTTGCAAAAGTTTCCATTTTAGAAGGTTTATCGAAATAATTAATATGGGGCAACATTTGAACATGTATCGAGGATTTACTTATTCAATTCTAATGTTTTGCTTATTGTTAGTGGCGTTGAACACCTTTGCTTCTAGAATCAACAAATTTAAGTTAATCTTTTGACAACATATCAAATTAATTTATGTTTTCACATGTTAAGGGTTTCACTTTTTTCTCAACTTATATGAAAATAATTTTAGAAGTTGTTGCGTTTATTAATCATCAGTTGGCCGGCCTAGGATGGGGATGGGATGCAGGATGAGGTTTTGTTTTGGTAAAAATCTTGTTGCATTAACTCTATATTAATATGAGCTGCTCAGAAAATTTGAGTGTGTTTATGATTCAGTTTTCTCTTTTAAATGAAGTTTTCAAATGAAGCAGGCATAAATTTTTGGCAGACTTGCTATAATTCACTGATAGCATTTCTTTATTCAGCCATTTTTCATCCGAAAACCAATAGCACAGCAGTTGCAGCAATAAATAAAGAAGCATATTATTATTTAGCAAAATCATTTTAGGTTCATGTATAGGTACAAGCTATACTTCACCACTAAACCATCATCATGCTTGTAATCATTATAGGCACAAGCATGATGATGGTTTAGTGGTGAAGAAGAGATTTATGGATCCAAGTATAACTCTTCTTCACCACTAAACCATCATCATGCTTGTACCCTCACTAGGCTCATAGCCCTGTATTGCTCTTTAGTTTCAGTTCTGCTTACATGTTTCCATCTCTTCTAGCTTTTGGATGATTCTCCTGTGTCTCAGTTTCTGATCATGAAAGTAGCGGATTCTGTTTTTTTTTTCCTCTGCCTCTTTAGCATTTGTATGTCAGAATGTGCTTATGGTAGCACAATACACGAGCAAGCATAACAAAAAAAAAAAAAAAAAAATGACTATAAGAGCTGACATGTATGTACTTTCCAAGACATTCTTCCAAAACTCTACTTCTAATTTTACCTTTTGCTACACATGATGGGAAAATAATGAGAGTGTGAGACCCTTTTATCATGAAAAACGATTTTCTGAGTTTTCTGTTTGATTAAGTTATTCTTGAGTTGCCGTGCCATCGAGTTAGGGTGACATAATTTTATATATGGATATTCAGTTTTGATTCAGCGCTTAAGGATTCGGGGTTTCATAGGTTGCTGAAACCACTTTTGGATGCTATATCTCTGCTGATACAGTTGTCTATCATCCACGAAAAGAGGAGACAGATGAAATGGAAGACGGTGTAAAAGTATATCTGAAGTCACCTGCAGATGTTGGTGTGGACATTGCTTCTGCTTATTGAAATCGAGAAAGAGTGATAGATTCAACACATTAGGCTTTTTTTCTTAACATACAATCGATAATCACTATGTTATGCACTATAACTTTTAATTAGTGCTTGGTTAGTGACGTATTTTTTTTTTTTTACACTGCTATAGGATGTTTGGAAGGCAATTTTTTTTGTTTGTCTATATATGGCAAATCCTTAATTGCTTATGCTTTACTTGGCAATATAAGGCAAAAGGATGACGGTTTCTACACTCAGGGTTGTGCTTATAAAAAAGAATAGATATCGATATAGTTGCTTTACTTGGTGATGTAGAGCAAAGGGTTAATGAATTCTACACCAAGGTTGTGCTTGAAATCCTTGCTAGCTAGGCTATTATTTCAGGCCAATAACTAGATTGGTAAAATTAACACCCTTTTGACTCTTTGGTAAATTTGTTGGAAGATTATAAAATTATCTTATTAGGCAGGAAGGCGTGTTTCTCATCGAAAGAAACTGAAGTCTGAAGTAAAAGTGCCCCTGTAATCTCATGATGCATGAAGGAACCCTGAATTTTCCTTGTTTCTTAAACCAAAAGAACATTTTAGAAATTTATTATAAAACACACCCTGCATTTTATAATGATGTTGGCTAGGGAACTATCTAGTATGCTGTTTCAACCACAAATGTTTTGTCATAAACTTATAATTGATCCGTATCATTAAGAAGTTTGACACATTCTTCATTGGATGTCCAACGTAGATGTTAAACTCTGTTCTTTTCAGCTTATTACAGTAATATTTCATTGATAGATGTAACCAAGTGATCTCAGTCTATCTGATATGGATTTTTAAGACTAATATATATTTTTAAGGATGAATTAAGTGTGAAATTTATACTTTAGTAAACATTAATATCACAAGTATAAGCTATTAATGGTTTTCTATATACAATCCTTATAATCGTTTATTTCTACTTTGGCCTATGTGCATATGACAAACACCGCTTTGCCATCAGTTAACCTTATTAATTGCAGATGTGATAAGAGTCCTAATGTAGCAAATATAAGAGTATCTTTTTCATGAACTGAATTTTGACAGTATACCAGAGATTAACTTTTGTTTATCTGAGTTTGCAGAAACCAGTTAGTGTATATACAGTAGTAAGATTACGTATTGGAAAGTTGGAAACCTCTAAGATCCCATTACACTAACCAGTTTTTTTACCCCTGATTGTTTACTGGTTTTGCAGGGCTCGGTATTTATTCTGTGTGCTTTGAGTCCTCAAGATGTTTCAAAAATTCGCGGGGAAACTTTCTCCCTATGGAATAGAAGTTATAAGGCTAAGAGATTTCTTGGTGTCAAATTTGACATCAAGCCTGACCTTTTGTGGTATCCATATCTATCATTGAGACTATCTATCTATTTAACTCTTGGGATTCTTAGTAGCACCAAGACGCAATGAGTTAAGACAGCAACAAAGATGGTAAGGGATTCTCACTAATACTCGTGTTGAGAAATCTTATTACAACCATCTCTAAGATTATAGAATGCATTGAGTCAAGACAACTACAAAGATGTTACAAACTCCGGAAGTCAATGCTACCCCTTAAGATGTACAAAGTCTTTTGACAAATTTACAATGGGTGTAGCCATGTATAGTGTATAACTGCACTTGTTACTCGTGATGAGATTCACCTGCCTATTTTGATTTGAATCCTCACAAAGCCCCCTGGTTCTAATGGCTTTGGTTCGCATTTCTTTCAATTTTATTGGCATATTGTTGGTCCTTCTGTAGTAGAGACTATCCAAGATTTTTTTTTTTACTTTCATGGATCTCATCCTTATCAGTTAAATCGTACTTTGATACCAAAAATGCAGTCTCCTAAATCTTCTCACCATTTTCGCCCAATCAGCTTTTGTAATACTATGAACAAAGCAATTTCGACAATCCTAGTTACAAGAATGAGTATTATTCTTAAGGAGCATTTCTTCCGGGGTGTTCTATCCAAGATAACCTTTTAGTACTCCAGGAAGTTCTTAATATGTTTTAGAAATCTAGTAATGAAATTGGTTGGTTATCTCTGAAGTTAAGTAAAGCCTATGAATATACATAATGTACTCATAGTAGCCTACTAGCAAGGATGATGATTTTGGAACCACCCTCAAGTCGCCCTAATTATTAGCTTAGGCAATTGTTTTTCAACCTGTTTACTAAAGAGTATAACAAGTAAGGCAACAGTTATTACTTTGCTCAAAATTAAGCAGTTTAACATAAACTAAACTTGTCCTCTTTGCTCAAAATTAAGCAGGGCAACATATAATTTTCATAAAATTTGGGAGAGCGAAAATCCCTACTACCCAAACTACATATAGGGGAAATTTTTGCGTTAAAACAGTGTGTAAAGATGATGTAGCTAATGATCAACATACTCAGGCCTTCATGGATGAAAATTACTAAGAATAGAAAATTTATTTGTGGAAACTCGTTACATAATCAAAATCTTAATTTACAACTGTATCTTAGAGATCCTAAAAAAGTAGGATACACTTTATTGTTTGTTCTGGTGAAAATAGTCAAAATACTAATCAACTAATGCCCTAATCCGTTGATCCTCTAAAGGTTGAACATGACCTTAATAGCTTTGCCACCCTTAGCACTAGTCTCGAAAGCCTTCACCACATCTTCTTGAGTGAATCCAAATCGGTGAGTAATCAAAGGTTTCACATCAATCTTCCCGGTGCTTATGAACTCTATACATTGTGGCCATGTATTCTTGTATCGGAAAACACCCAACACGTCTACTTCCCTGTGATACATGTGCAACAACATAACAAAATTAATATATGACCAATGTTTTCTTGAGAAAAAACTTTAAATCAAAAACTTATAACTGATGTTTACCTTGATGCAGCTGGTGTAAGAGGAACAGTCATATTGCAATGACCCATTCCAATCAAACACACCTTACCACCACTACGAGTAGCACCGAAAGCAGTTGACACAGTTTTCTCAAAACCAGCACAATCCAAAGTTACATCTATATCTTTTCCCATTATTTTCTTTATCTCATCCACTTCTGCTGAGACAAACTGCAACAAAAACAAAAATTTACTTATTATAGATATTTGTAGTGCATTATATTAGAAGTGTACATAGTAGTTTGTAAAGCAACACACCTCTATAGTCGATGAAACTTTAACAACTCCATCAGCACCAAGGCTCTTTGCAACAGAGAGACGGTGATCATCCATATCTGCTACTACTATTCTAGGAGCACCAAAAGCACGAGCTGACAGCAATGTGACAAGGCCAATTGGTCCAGCACCAATGATCAAAACATTAGTCTCAGCACCAACATTAGCTCGGCGACAACCATACACACCAACACTTAATGGCTCACACATTGCCCCTTCTTCCAATGAGACATTTTCAGGCAGCTTGAAACATAAGTCTGCAGGATGCACAATCTACATACACAAATTCATGAATTTCATATACCATATTAGTGGACCTTATAATAATGAATAATCAATAATTAACGTATGTATTAATTAGATATAAACCTGATCAGCAAGAGATCCATGAATAGGAGGGGTAGCAAAGAAGCGCATATCAGGGCAGAGATTGTAAGACCCTTCTTTGCACCTGTTACACTGCCAACAACCAATCCCGGGCTCAAGAGCTACTCGATCCCCCGGAACGAGTGAATTGACCTCGCTTCCGACTTCTTCAATAATCCCAGCACATTCATGACCGATCACCATAGGCTCTTTCACATGGTAATCACCACAGCTCATTGTCTAATCAAGTCAAGTATAGCATGAATATGAATAATCATAAAAATATTATTTGCATAATTTATATCATATACTAGTATGAAATTTGCGTAAATATGTACCTTTAAATAATGCACATCACTCCCACAAATTCCAACAGCCTTCATTCTTACTCTCACATCTTTAGGTCCTGTCACATACCAAAATTATATGTTAACTTCAACATTATATATAACAAAAGAAATCAATAAGCAAATCATCTATTGAGGTATAAACTGTCACATTACTAGTTCAAACTACACTATTAATATATCGCTACATACAAATCTTACCGAGAGCATGGAGCTCAAAAGGAAGAATCCTAAGATCATTAACTCCATATAGCCAAGCAGCCCTGTTCTCTGAAAGAGAGGCAACTTCACCAACACTTCCTCCTTTTCCCATTATCTTTAATTTCTCTCTTTTTCACGTTTGTCACACTAAATTTAATAGAGTTAATAGCTTATTTTGTTGTGGTTTTTGATGTAGGGGTGATGAAGGCTTTATATAGGGAAATTATATATTAAAAGATAATTGTTTATTACTTTGGATTAATTTTAATTATATTATCTGATACTTATCCAATTATTCATAACAATAAACAGATTTGAATTATTCAAATTATGTGTTTTCCTCAATATAAGATAAACGTATATGTTTTCATGTTTTCAATTTTTTTATTGAAGATGCAACTTTATCTTTTTTCTTCATCTTCAATCAGTTATTTTTGATTTTATCTTTATCCTTTAAAATACATATTTCTTCTTTTTATTTACGAACAAAACGATTCTAAAAAAATATCTACTCCACATAATTTTGTTTATCTTATTATCCAATAATTAGATGATCTTCATAATCGATCATGACAATAATAAAAAAATATATATTAGGGTCGTTCGTTATAGTCGATCAAATACTACGTAATAATTTTAATATGCAATTATTATTTAAAATAATCACTGGGTATTAAAATAATCACTGGGTATTAAAAAAAAAAAAAAAAAAAAAATTAGGTTTAATTCTCACCAAATAAATAAGAGGTACAACAATAAAGGGTTCCTTGAAAAATTACAAGGCTCTAAAATAACAAAGACGGAGTACTTCTTGTTTTTTGAAAAAAATCTTAAATAACAAATACTTTATATGTACAATTTTTATTTTTGTTTTGCGTTTTATTTACCTGATTTTAATATTTTTATAAAAGAAACCAAAATTTCAGTACTTATTACAACGGAGTATATTTTGTCATTTTATGTGAACATAACTAATACTTCCTATGATTTAATTAACTTAAGTAAATTGGACTCGATCACAAACTAGTTTGGTAAACCATATGGATTTGAACTTTTTTTTTTTTTTTTTTTTTTTTTGTTCGCAAGAAAGAAATATGGATTTGAACTTACTAAGGCTTATCTATTTTTTTTTATTATCTAAATTAATCTATCTAATATCATATCATATCATCACTAATATATAAAGCCGGTCTCGTAGCCACGTAGGCGATAAACAGGTATTATTGTGACACGTACGATGCTAAGTAAGCGAACTTTGGATAGATTTTTTTACATAAAAATGTTGTATAATGTTTTATTATCGATATACTTCTAATATTTCATCTATACGAAATTAATCATAACTTTATAAATATCTTATAAGTTATAACCCAGTTCTATTTCCATCATAAAATTTATTTTAAAATTTTTTATAAAATGAGATCCATTTATAATATATTTTAAAAAATAATAGAAAATCAGTAAAAACAAGTTTCATGTAGAAAAAGTAATTTAGTTTGATAAAAATACTTTCAGTTCATTAGAAATACAAGTAATAATTTAAGTGCAATAAAAAAAACTTTAACTTAATAATAACATAGATATCCATTTACAAATAAAACTACAAAAAAGTACACTATTACATAAATATAAGCAATATGATATTGTATGTCTAAATATTTTACATTATCAAAAGGGATTATATGATCGTATTTAACATTTAAGCTAAAATGTTTAAGATAAGAGAGTTATAAATATCCTATAACTCAGTACTATTTCTATCATCAAATTCGTTTTAAAAAGTTCTTTAAAATAAGATCCATTTATAATATATTTAATCACAAACTTTTATATGTAGCTGGTCAAACCGTGTCACCAACTATTATAAGAGTTACTTCGTGAGTGTTATATGGTTACTTAGTTAGTGTTATAGTGGTTACTCTTATAGATAGGGGTTACTTAGTCAGTGTTAGAGGTTACTCAGTTAGTATTATAAGGATTACTCGGTCAGTTTTATAGGGGTTACTTTGTCCGGCCAGATGGTGTGGCTAGCCGCATACAAAATGCATTGTTATTTAATTTATTTAAGAAAATAATAGAGAATCAGTAGAAATAAATTTTAATTTGTAAAAATAATTTTAGTTTGGTAAAAATACTTTAAGTTCAGTGAAAACAATTTAAGCTCAATATAAGTAATTTAAAGTCAATAATAATAGATATTTATTTACAAACAAAACTACAAAAAGTACACTATTAATCTATTATATAAATATATGCCACATAATATCGTATGTCTAAATATCCTACATTATTATAACGGATTATATGACTGTATTTATTAACATTCAAGTAAAAGGTTTATCCTAAAATTTTATCATCAATTTGGGCATCGCCCGGGCACAAAACTAGTATGTACCCCGGGCGATGCTTCGGATTCATTCCGCAATATATATTCTTATTGGCTACTTATAAAATAATTGTTATTTTCTAGAAGGCATTATCACTAATGTGTAAATATATCCACGGTTTCATTGACATTTCAATTGAAGTTAAGATTACGACCATCGAGTTAAATAAGTTATAATATAATGATGTTAAAGATAAACAGAAAAAAATTGATGGTAGAATTTTTAAAAATATTTAAAATGGTGGTAGTATCACCTGTACTTTGTAATATAATATTAGCTCACAATTCACATACACTATTAAAAATGGTATGATGTTGTGTTTCTTCAAATCAAATACATACCATTATAGGTTCAAATTCTAAGAGATGTAATCATAAGCACAATTGATACATTGTCTACACCGAGATGGTAGTTGTATGTTCGGCTATTTTTCCCTATAGTGTTATCAAGTATGTTTGTCCACTGTATTAAAATATGAGAATAGACGAATACTGTTTTATTAGGATATTAATATATAGATATATAATTGATTATAATTTTTAATACTAAATAATTATACCTTGTGTCTTCTAATATGATTTCTCGTAATAATATAGATCAGATAGACCTTTCTGGCTTTATGTTTAAATTTCCAATTCCTCTTAGTTGGCCTAATACATCTGCATTATAAATAAAGTAGAACAATTATATATGATACAGACTACAGAGTGTTGTATATAATGATAATTATAGACCGAGTTTGAATAGTGATATAAATCTTCTATAAAAACATGTGAGTTGAACAACTGAGTTGCATTATTGTTGCTTGATTGATTCATCATCCCCCCGTTTAAACTTTTGTCTAGGGATTTTTGGATCATCTTTCTTTAGTAATTGAGTCGAGGTTGAAAATTTGAAAAATATCATGTGATCATTTGTGACAATCCTCCACTCTTTCTTGTTAGACGTCACATTAAAGTTCTTAATCATATATATATATATATCCCTCTTTGAGCTTTTCTCTAAAATCATATGCATCTTCTCGTTTAATTTAATTGAAGCATGTATGTATTGTCTCTGTATCATTAGCTTCGTTAGTTCTTATTTTGAAGAGATATTAGGTTAATAACATATATAAAAATATTGGAATAATACATGGTAGTTGTTGTGCAAAATACTTACATCTCCTAGTATTGTGTCAATACCTAGAAAATGATTGGTCTTCGGGCTAATTACATCCCCAATTTAATTAGTGATTTTTACTTTTAAAGTCCATTCTTGCCTCTCATTGCTAATCTTCAAGTCCTTGATAAGATTATATTTCTCTAGCTCCAACGATGTCCTATCTCTAAAAAATCATTAGGAAAAAAAAACATGTTAATTATATATAAATTATAGAGGGAAAAAAACTGACATACATCAACATCTCCTATAATGATGCAAGCATTCTATTATACAGACTACATGCGTATATCAAATAATCCCAAAAAAATATATAAATGGAAGATTTTATTGTTAGCGATAATATAATTCCTTGTTGATTAAACATGCAAGGAATTTTTTTTATTTTATTTTTTTTTCCAACAGGCAAAAAAGGAGGCTAGCTCCCAACTTACTTAAAACTAATAATTAAGAAAATAAAAAAATGAAAAAAAATTGGTCAATGATAGTCTCTACGCAAGAAGTTAGTATTTATAAGATGATTTTCAAAGCTTTCTATTTTATGCAATAGGTTCTTTTGTTTTGTGGATTTTTAAAAGGCCATTAACAAACATGAGCCCATTAGGATCAATTGATTTGAAGGAATCAAATGATGCACGCAAAACATATCTTTTTATAATTGCACGATTTGTTTGTTTGATTTTTTGTTTTTAATAAATACGATTGTTTATTTGGAATTTTAATTCTGAAGGAACTATGATAGCAATTAGTATTTGATTTGATATATTTTCGTTATTAATTATCCAAAATAAAACTCTAATAATAACTTTTTTATCCTAAACAAATCTATCAGATTCGTCACTTATTTATCATCAAACGTGTCAAATTAATCTAATATGTCACCTTCGTGGCGCGACACTTGGCGAAAAGTTGAAACGCCAAGTGTCACTATCTCGTGGCCAAGAGTTTAGCTTTATATATTAGTTATAGTTTTGTGCCCGGGCGATGCCCAGATATTTGATAAAATTTTGTAGTTTTTGTAGTTTTGTTTGTAAATACATATCTATGTTATTATTGACTTGAAATTATTATTATTGAACTTAAATTATTTTTACTGAACTGAAAGTATATTTACCAAACTAAATTTAATTTTACTGATTAAAACTTATTTTTACTGATTCTCTATTATTTTTTAAATAAATTAAATAACAATGCATTTTGTATGCGGCTAGCCACACCATTTGACCGGACAAAGTAACCTCTATAAAACTGACCGAGTAACCCTTGTAATACTAACTGAGTAAACTCTAACACTAACTAAGTAACCCCTATCTATAACACTGATTGAGTAACCACTATAACACTAACCAAGTAACCCCTATAGCACTAACGAAGTAACTCTTGTAATAGTTTGTGACACGGTTTGGCCAGCTACGTATTAAAGTTTTTGATTAAATATATTACTCGGTCAGTTTGATAGGGGTTACTTTGTCCAGCCAGATGTTGTGGCTAGCCGCATACAAAATGCATTGTTATTTAATTTATTTTAAAAAAAATAATAGAGAATCAGTAAAAATAAGTTTTAATCTGTAAAAATAATTTTAGTTTGGTAAAAATATTTTAAGTTCAGTGAAAATAATTTAAGCTCA